GGTACAGGTATCGGGTAGGGTACGGGTATCGGGTATCAGGTAGGGTACGGGTATCGGGGTAGGGTACGGGTATCGGGGTAGGGTACGGGTATCGGGGTAGGGTACGGGTATCGGGTACCCGGTTGCGACCTCTGGCACACACACTGCCGTCGAATTTTCAAACGGGGGCGGGCGTCGCCGCTCTTGACGGATAATCGCCATCGACGGAATATAATATCGATCAAACATCTGCCAGCGGTCGGCAATTATAAGGGGGGGGTCCGAGATGACGGGGCTCATGGCGTTTCGTCCATATCTTATCAAACCCAGCGCCCCACCACCCTCCCGTGCGTGTGTCACACACGCAGAGGGCTCTCTGCTTCCCGCGATCGAACTCGTCGCTCCTTTGACTTTGGTCGGTAAGGTGAGAGAGGTGGGGAGAGAGAGGTGGGGAGAGAGAGGTGGGGAGAGAGAGGTGGGGAGAGAGAGAGGTGGGGAGAGAGAGAGGTGGGGAGAGAGAGCGGGGAGGATGGGGGTTGAGATGATGTGTTTATCTAGGACAAAAATAAAATTGGATTTTTATAAACAAAGCAGATTACAATGATCCACAGACTTAATAATGTACACAGAGACCCACAGACTCACACAGAGACCCACAGACTCACACAGAGACCCACAGACTCACACAGAGACCCACAGGCTCATACAGAGACCCACAGACTCACACAGAGACCCACAGGCTCATACAGAGACCCACAGACTCACACAGAGACCCACAGACTCACACAGAGACCCACAGACTCACACAAAGACCCACAGACTCACACAGAGACCCACAGACTCACACAGAGACCCACAGACTCACACAGAGACCCACAGACTCACACAGACCCACAGACTCACACAGACCCACAGACTCACACATAGACCCACAGACTCACACAGACCCACAGACTCACACAGAGAACCCATAGAGTTACATACACCCATAGACTTGACTTCGACTTTGGACGGCCGGGTGAGCGAGTGAGTGAGTGAGCGTGCAAGCGAGGGCGGACGGGGGAGGGCGAGAGAGAAAGAGGGAGAGAGGAGAGGGGGAGAAATGTAGAGAAAATGGGGTTGCGGTAGAATTACGTTGATAAATTAAATGCACGCAACATGGGAAGACAGTCACTTAAGAGAACCTCTCGGGGTCTGTCAGGGTGAGGGATTGTACGGGGCAATGCGAGCATGTGTGCATTCAAATGTACGTACCGGTATTGCATAGACTCATGTAATAACCCACGGATTTGCAAAGAGATCCATAGACTCACACAGAGAAACCCAGAGACTTACCGATACCCATAATTTACATAGTCCCACAGACTTAAAGACCAGTACCTTTTTTCGATTTAAAGCTTTCGTGACTGCAGGGATTAATCTTCTTGGTTCTTTCGGTAAAGTCACGTAGAAGGGAAGTAATGAAATAATAAAAATAAAACATAATAGAATAATTCTCACGACGTTTCGGCCACAACGCAAGCAGCCGTCCTCAGGTGAAGAACAGGTCTGTCGGAAAGACAGCGTCTGAATGAACACCGCCAAGCTTGGCAGCGTATATTTCTTTCCGACAGCCCTGTTCTTCACCTGAGGACGGCTGCTTGCGTTGTGGCCGAAACGTCGTGAGAATTATTCTATTATGTTTTATTTTTTATTATTTTATTATTTCCCTTCTGCGTGACTTTACCGAAAGAACCAAGAAAATCAGTACCTACAGAGATCCGTAAGACTTCAAGAGTCCCATAGGTTTACGCAGAGACTCACGGACATAAATAACAAGACCTCGATTTGGAGGCACATCTGCCGGCATTGGCATGAGCGGGAAATTGCGGGGCTTAACCTTAACCATCAAGGTGACTCTCCGTTCTTTCCCTCCCTCTCCCTCTCTCAGGCTGATGACATGTCCATCAGCCCTTGTATATTTAATAACAAATATTGACAAACATTTTCACGATCGCCCACCCCACTCATCCATCCACCCGCCCACAAATCCACTAACCCACCACGGCCACCCGGCACCCACCCACCAACCCACTCACCCACACACCCGACAACACACTCATCCACCCATTAAAACATTCACTCACTCATACAACCACTCACTTACACACCCGCTCACTCACTAAATAACCCACCAACTCACCCGCTCACTCACCCACTCACTCACCCACCCAGCAACCCATCACTCCACTCACTCACCCACCTATACACCAATACACTCACCCACCCATTAAAACATTCACTCATTCATACAACCACTCACTTACACACCCGCTCACTCACTAAATAACCCACCAACTCACCCGCTCACTCACCCACTCACTCACCCACCCAGCAACCCATCACTCCACTCACTCACCCACCTATACACCAATACACTCACCCACCCATTAAAACATTCACTCATTCATACAACCACTCACTTACACACCCGCTCACTCACTAAATAACCCACCAACTCACCCGCTCACTCACCCACTCACTCACCCACCCAGCAACCCATCAGTCCACTCACTCACCCACTCACCCCACCCCCGCCATCCCACTCACACACTAAATAACCCACCAACTCACCCACTCAATCACCCACCCGCTCACCTCAGCCACCCACCCAGCAGTCCACTCACCCACTCACCCCACCCCCGCCATCCCACTCACACTAAATAACCCACCAACTCACCCACTCAATCACCCACCCGCTCACTCAGCCACCCACCCAGCCACCCATCAGTCCACTCACTCACCCACTCACCCCACCCTCGCCAGCCCCCCACTCACACACTAAATAACCCACCAACTCACCCACTCAATCACCCACCCGCTCACTCAGCCACCCACCCAGCCACCCACCCAGCAACCCATCAGTCCACTCACTCACCCACTCACCCACTCACCCCACCCCCGCCAGCCCACTCACACACTAAATAACCCACCAACTCACCCGCTCAATCACCCGCCCGCTCACTCAGCCACCCACTCAGCCACCCACCCAGCCACCCATCAGTCCACTCACTCACCCACTCACCCCACCCCCGCCAGCCCACTCACACACTAAATAACCCACCAACTCACCCGCTCAATCACCCGCCCGCTCACTCAGCCACCCACTCAGCCACCCACCCATCAGTCCACTCACTCACCCACTCACCCCACCCCCGCCAGCCCACTCACACACTAAATAACCCACCAACTCACCCGCTCAATCACCCGCCCGCTCACTTAGCCACCCACTCAGCCACCCACCCAGCCACCCATCAGTCCACTCACTCACCCACTCACCCCACCCCCGCCAGCCCACTCACACACTAAATAACCCACCAACTCACCCGCTCAATCACCCACCCGCTCACTCAGCCACCCACCCAGCCACCCATCAGTACACTCACTCACCCACTCACCCCACCCCCGCCAGCCCACTCACACACTAAATAACCCACCAACTCACCCGCTCAATCACCCACCCGCTCACTCAGCCACCCACTCAGCCCCCCGTCAGTCCACTCACTCACCCACTCACCCCACCATCGCCAGCCCACTCACACACTAAATAACCCACCAACTCACCCGCTCAATCACCCACCCGCTCACTCAGCCACCCATCAGTCCACTCACTCACCCGCTCACCCCACCCTCGCCAGCCCGCTCAATCACCCACGCACCCACCCACCCCGAGCTAGCTAAGCGATATCTAAATAAACGATGCGTGCGAGAACACGAATCGATGGGAAATTAAACCAAAGCGCGCGACAAAAACAATCACAGCTTAAAAGGAATCGGCTATTTGTTAAGAGACGCCTTTCTCCACCCCCCACCTCTCTCTCGTTTTTTACTTTTCCAGGGGTGGCAAAACGGGGAGATGAAAAAAGCACAAACCCGTTGTGTTTTTTTAAATCCTTTATATTAAGTTCACTTGCTTGCTTGCGCGCTTACGACCGTGCAAATCTTTCGGTCGTTTTTTAACCCACTTCCCGTGATCCAATCGAGCTGACATTTTGCACACAGACTCGTTGTGCGAGACAATTAATGTTCGTGAAATTTTTTTCCCAAAATGTTACACTTTTTAGGGAAAACAAATTAAATATTTAATTACCATTTGCTTAATACTGGCAGACAATCATCTGACCCATAGGTGGCAGCCATCTCAAGCCAGAGGACGAGAGAACTCATGCATATAAAGGATTTATAGTGAAAAACTTTGTTTTTACGGGTTATACTTATTGTTGTTGGCGAGCGAATGTTTTGGACATCGGTTCCAGGGGGTCCCCTTAACCCCTAGGTCGACTCAGCCTTAACTGAGAAAGTCCACGCGCATGTATCCTTACTTACACCGTGACTCTCTGGGCCTCCGCTAGGTCGACTCAGCCTTAACTGAGAAAGTCCACGCGCGTGTATTCTTACTTGCAGCGTGACTCTGGGCCTCAACTAGGTAGACTCAGCCTTAACCCAGCCACTCCACGTGTGAGTATCTTTACCCGTATCCTTGTCCGTATATCCTTACACGCACCCCGGCTCTCCGGGCCTCCTCTAGGTCGACTCGACCTTAACCGAGTCACTCCACACGTGCGTACGCGCACCCCGACTTTCTGGCCCTCCCCGAGGTCGACTCAGCCTTAACCGAGTCACTCCACACGTGCGTACACGTACCCCGACTTTCTGGGCCTCCTCTAGGTCGACTCAGCCTTAACCGGGAAACTCCACATGCGCGTCTTTTGTACTGCATTGTTTATTTGTTGTTTGCGGGAGTGTTGTTGATTGTGGGTGTGTTGTTGTTTGCGGGAATGTTGTTGTTTGTGTGCGTGTTGTTGTTGGTGGGCGTGTTGTTGTTGGAGGGCGTGTTGTTGTTTGAGGGTGTGTTGTTTGTGTGTATGTTGTTGTTTGCTGCGTGTGTTGTTGTTCGCTGCGGCAGTAACTTGCCGACCCACCACATGCTCGACATCGGTGGAACAAGAGCTTTGCAGCTCTTCTGATTCTGTATCCTTTACCTGCGCAATGCACCAATCGCCGTGACTTCCCGGACCTCCCTTCACTCCCTCCTCCTCCTCCTCCACCACCTCCTCCTTCACTTCCTCCTCGGAACTCTGGACCGCGGAAGGCATCACGCTTCTCATCCTGGACCGCCTCGGGCTCCACCACCACCGTGCCTGCAAACCACAAACACAAAGATGAGTCTACGGGTCTCTGTCTGAGTCTATGGGCCTCTATTTGAGTCTATGGGTGTCTGTGTGAGGAATCTACGGGTCTCTCTGCGAGTCCACGGGTCTCTCTGCGAGTCTACGGGTCTCTGTGTGAGTCTATGGGCCTCTATTTGAGTCTATGGGTGTCTGTGTGAGGAATCTACGGGGATCTCTCTGCGAGTCCACGGGTCTCTCTGCGAGTCTACGGGTCTCTGTGTGAGTCTATGGGCCTCTATTTGAGTCTATGGGTGTCTGTGTGAGGAGTCTACGGGTCTCTCTGCGAGTCTACGGGTCTCTGTACGAGTCTACGGGTCTCTGTGCGAGTCTACGGGTCTCTGTGCGAGTCTACGGGTCTCTGTGCGAGTCTACGGGTCTCTGTGCGAGTCTACGGGTCTCTGTGCGAGTCTATGGGTCTCTGTGCGAGTCTATGGGCCTCTATTTCAGTCTGTGTGTGAGTCTGAGACCCCGGTGTAATTGCTGCGGTTGAGGCTGAAACCTGAATTGAAACCCAGTATCTCAGCTGTGTGATCTCAGTGTCTCTGACACGGCCTTTATGAACCCCCTGGGAGATGGAGACAGACACCTAGACCCAGGATCCGAACCCGTGGCTCTCCGCAATGCTGGCTCAACGTCTCTCCGTGCCTGATGAGACAATATTGAACAAACTCTCTCTCCCTCTCACCTTCTCTCTCTCTCAACCCCTCCTGCCCTCTCCCCCTCTCTCTTACCCCATCTCATTACCGCCCCTCCTCCATTTCTCCTTCTGATTCTCGCTCTATCCCACTCTCTCTTACACCTTCTCGCTCGTCTTTTTATAATTTCGTTAAAAAAAAATATTTAAACTTTGCTTTATGTAAACCCCCACCTCTCGCTCACTCTCTCGCTCACTCTCTCGGTCACTCTCTCGGTCACTCTCTCGTTCTGCACGCAGCCCTTCTCGCAGTCCGACGGCCTCCGACGGGTAGCTCATAATCTGCACGCAGAGCTCCCCGTCATCTGCCACCGAGCACACGGCCTCCTCCATCGCCCACTGCTCCTTGAAGGCCGGCACGGCGTGGGTCAGCCGCGCCACATGGCGGAACTCCGGCCCACACACCCTGGCTCCGACCTGAGCGCGGAAGATGCCCAGGCTGCTGGCCGGACGTTTCCCCTCCAGGGCCACCTTCCTCACCTTCTCTGTCTCGCTTTCTCTGCCCCTCTCTCACCTTCTTTCTCTCCCCTCCGTTGCGCTATCATTTGTGATAGCCACTTCACTTCTGACAAAGAGCTACGTAGCTCAGTGGGGCCTTACCTGATAACAAAAATATATAAAAATAAAAATGTCCCTCTCTCCCTTTGCAATCTGTCTGATTCCCCCACCCACCCCCCCTCTCTCTTTCACTTTCCTTCTCTTGGATATCTCTCTCTCTCTGCCCTTGTGTTCTCTCTCATCCCCAGCCCAGCTCTCTCCCTCTCACTTTGCCACACTCCAATCAATCAATCGCTCTTCTCTTATTCAAATTCGTTATTTTCCGTTGCGCTCTCTCATCCACGCTCTCTCGCTAATGGCAGAAGCATGACACAGAGACCTGTAAACTCGCACAGAGACCCATAGACACACACAGAGCCATAGACTCACACAGAGACCCCATAGACTTAGAGAACCACAGTCTCAGAGTTCCAGACTCACACAGAGATCCAGAGACTCAGAGATTCACAGACTCACAGAGATCCATAGACTCACACAGAGATCCAGAGACTCAGAAATTCACAGAATCGCACAGAGATCCGTAAACTCGCACAGAGACCCGTAAACTCGCACAGAGAGCCATAGACTCACACAGAGCGCCGTAGACTTACAGAAATCCAGAGACTCAAGAGTTCTAGACTCACACTGAGATCCAGAGACTCATAGATTCACAGACTCACATAGAGACCAGTAGACTCACAGAGATTCACAGACTCGCACAGAGATCCACAGACTCACACAGAGATCCACAGACTCGCACAGAGATGCACAGACTCGCACAGAGATGCACAGACTCGCACAGAGATGCACAGACTCGCACAGAGATGCACAGACTCGCACAGAGATGCACAGACTCGCACAGAGATGCACAGACTCGCACAGAGATGCACAGACTCGCACAGAGATGCACAGACTCGCACAGAGATGCACAGACTCGCACAGAGATGCACAGACTCGCACAGAGATGCACAGACTCACACAGAGACCCACAGACAGACCCACACCGCAGAACCAATCTTGAACCTCACCTTCAGGAAGTTCCGAGACATCCATGGAGGCATCAGCGGAATCTTCCGCCTCCTCCTCCTCCGCTGGTCTCTCCTTGTCCCTCGTCCTCCTTCCTCCTCCTCCTCCTCGCCCTCCAACCACTCGCCCCTTAGATCCACCACCATCGCCACCACCACGGTTGTTACCGTCGTCGTCGTCACCACCACCGTCGTCATCATCCACCTCCTGCCCGTCCTCAACATCGTCGTTGTCATCGTTGTTGTCATCGTTGTTTTCGTTGCCTTGGTCTTTGTTCCTGGCGTCGTCATCTTCGGCCAGATCGTCGTCGTTGTTGTCCTCATCGGAAGCGACGACCTTCACGACGTGCGTGGGCTTCCTAGAGCGGGAGGGAACGGGTGAAGCGAGGGTTTGCCGGTTCGAATCCGGCGTCCCCTCCCCGGTTATAACCGCGGATCGGGCGTAACTAGGCGGAAACAAAATTGTCCGTTCACCCGTAACGCCGCGTGTTGTTTTTCATAACGCGAATTGGATACAACGCGACGATGAATGTATTACAGATGTAATGTGAGGTTATATCCGGGTCGTTGACGGATTACAACGGGGAGAGAAAGAGACGCAAAGTCCAAATATACAGCAGCAGGCATCGTCAGGGTCGGGATCGAACCCACGACCTCCTGTAGACCAGGCGAGGTAGTTAACATCTCACCACGGAGAGAGAGAGAGACACGCAAACTCCAAATATACAGCAGCAGGCGTCAGGGTCGGTGTGGAACCCACGATCTCCTGTAGACCAGGCGAGGTAGTTAACATCTCACCACGGAGAGAGAGACACGCAAACTCCAAATACACAGCAGGCGTCAGGGTCGGTGTGGAACGCACGACCTCCTGTATACCTAGCGAGGCCGTTAACATCTTGCCACTGTGTCGTTACCTAAGATCTCATCCTGACACGGTCCCCATCATCGGTGAGTTACTCCGGCAGGCGAGGCTGCGTTGGCTGGGTTACGTAGCCCACATGCTCAGCCACAGCATTCACCAAGCAGCTTCTGTTCGGCCAGATAGATGGGGCTTAAGCGGCCCAGCATGGGCTGCAGACGGCTGTGGAGCTGAACGAACTTGCCAGCGGGCGGTACTAGCGGTGTCAAGATCGGCCTCTGTGACGGAGGAGGCTCGTGAAGGACGCCCCTGGGCAGTTGGAGGCAGTCGCCCTCCGGGAATAACGGAGGGCGGAGGAGCGACGCTCACAACAACGAGCCGGGTGGGTAAAGCACAGCAAGTTGGCACAGTAGGGGGCACAGGTGGTGCATCAGCCAGTCATCTCGGTCATCTCAGTCAGTCGACCCGTGGCACCTGCTGGGTCTGACCCTTGACCTCTTGCCAGCAGCGAGCCTTCCACACTCCAAGACTCACCACACGTGGCCTGCTGCTCAACTAGGTCGACTCAGCCAGAACTGAACACCCGGTCAGGACTTCCTCTAGGTCGACTCAGCCAGAACTGAATACCCGGTCAGGCCTTCCGCTAGGTCGACTCAGCCAAAACTGAATACTCGGTCAGGCCTTCCTCTAGGTCGACTCAGCCAGAACTGAATACTCGGTCAGGCCTTCCGCTAGGTCGACTCAGCCAGAACTGAATACTCGGTCAGGCCTTCCGCTAGGTCGACTCAGCCAGAACTGAATACTCGGTCAGGCCTTCCTCTAGGTCGACTCAGCCAGAACTGAATACTCGGTCAGGCCTTCCGCTAGGTCGACTCAGCCAGAACTGAATACTCGGTCAGGCCTTCCGCTAGGTCGACTCAGCCAGAACTGAATACTCGGTCAGGCCTTCCGCTAGGTCGACTCAGCCAGAACTGAATACTCGGTCAGGCCTTCCTCTAGGTCGACTCAGCCAGAACTGAATACCCGGTCAGGCCATCCACTAGGTCGACTCAGCCAGAACTGAACACACGGTCAGCCCTCCCTCTAGGTCAACTCAGCCAGAACTGAACACCCGGTCAGGCCTTCCTCTAGGTCGACTCAGCCAGAACTGAACACTCGGTCAGGCCTTCCTCTAGGTCGACTCAGCCAGAACTGAACACACGGTCAGGCCTTCCTCTAGGTCGACTCAGCCAGAACTGAACACCCGGTCAGGCTCTCCCCTAGGTCAACTCAGCCAGAACTGAACACTCGGTCAGGCCTTCCTCTAGGTCAACTCAGCCAGAACTGAACACCGGTCAGGCCTTCCTCTTGGTCGACTCAGCCAGAACTGAACACACGGTCAGGCCTTCCTCTAGGTCAACTCAGCCAGAACTGAACACTCGGTCAGGCTCTCCCCTAGGTCAACTCAGCCAGAACTGAACACTCGGTCAGGCCTTCCTCTAGGTCAACTCAGCCAGAACTGAACACTCGGTCAGGCCTTCCTCAAGGTCCACTCAGCCAGAACTGAACAACCCCACCCCCACCCACCCCGCTGGTGTGAGTGGCGCTTGCTGTATAATTAACGATAAATTATATCGTTAGGAAATATTCATCCCGCGCCGGCCGACAGGCAATTAAGGCTCAGCTCGTTAATGAGTTAAAATATTAATAGGGCCGCAGACGTTCAATAATTAACGAGGATGTAGCAGAGGCCCCCACCGATGCATTGGGGGGGGGGGGAGGGGGGGTGTGGGGGAAGGATGTGGGGGGAGGGGGGCGTGGGGGAAGGATGTGGGGGGAGGGGGGCTGTGGGGGGAGGGGGTGTGGGGGGAGGGGTGGTGTGGGGGGAAGGATGTGGGGGGAGGGGGTGTGGGGGGAGGGGGTGTGGGGGGAGGGGTGGTGTGGGGGGAAGGATGTGGGGGGAAGGATGTGGGGGGAGGGGGATGTGGGGGGAGGGGGGATTTTTTTTATTCAGGCGCCGCGTGGTGAGATGTTAACCACATCGCCTGGTATGCAGGAGGTCGTGGGTTCGATCCCGATAGAGAGAGCGACAAAGAGAGAGACAGAGAGAGAGGAAGAGACAGAGAGAGAGACAGACAAAGGAGATGCAGAGAGAGAGACACAGAGAGAGAGACACAGAGAGAGAGACACAGAGAGACAAAGAGATGCAGAGAGAGACAGACAGACAGAGCCAGACAGACAGAGAGAGACTGACAGAGACAGAGACACAGACACAGAGAGACAGAGAGAGAGACACAGACAGAGAGACAGACAGAGAGAGACACAGAGAGAGAGAGACAGAGAAAGATGGTGAATCTTGTGATCTAAGTCTCGTACCTTCGTGAGCGCGATGGACCGGCCTGTGGGCTGGGAGAACTTGTATCCTGCAGCACAAAGAGAGCAGACGCAACTTTGTTATCGTGGTCGTTATAACATGGAACACACATCATTATAAACACACAACACACATCGTTATAAACACTCACTCACCATTATAAACACTCAACACACACATCGTTATAACCCGAGTGGCAGCCCGCTCTCCTACAACGCGGCGGTAGCGGCTGCGTTCACGAAGAGCGTCGCTCGATGTAAAGACCGCGATAGACTAAACAGCACATTCATATCGGGGCAAAGCACGGTCCGCGTGAACGCCACCAGATGCCTGAACGCAGCGCCGAACAGGAGACGGAGCCGCGTGTGTGGGTTAGCGTGTGTGGGTTAGCGCGTGTGGGTTAGAAGCCATGTAGAAGGGAAATAATAAAACAATAAAAATAAAACATAATAAATAATTCTCACGACGTTTCGGCCACAACGCAAGCAGCCGTCCTCAGGTGAAGAACAGGTCTTCCTGATGATTATTTCCCTTCTACGTGACATTACCGAAAGAACCAAGAAGATGAATCCCTGCAGTCACGAAAGCTTTAAATCGAAATAAAAAAATGTTCTAGAAGCATCCAGCAGCATCCCGATGCCGTGTTGTGCGATGTCGCCCAGCCGAGGCGGCCGCTACAACCGCTCATTCCTTCTCACGCGACGTCTCTCCGTCAGAGGTCGCAAACGGGTTTTGATTCCTTACCCCTCGTACCCGTACCCGGCCGCACCAGGGTCGCAAACGGGTACCCGTACCCGGCCGTACCCGTACCCTACCCGTACCCGGCCGGGTACGAGTAGGGTACGGGTATCGGGTACCTGATTGCGACCTCTGGGATGAAGCCATGTTGCAGGCGCGGGTGGGTTGATTCTAGGAACTTGAATTGTGAGAAGAGACAAGACGTTGGGAAATGAGTGACTCACGGCCTACCCGTACCCGGCCGCACCAGGGTCGCAAACGGGTACCCGTACCCGGACAGGTACGGGTAGCCGGGTATCGGGTAGGGTACGGGTATCGGGTACCCGGTTGCGACCTCTGCTCTCCGCTCACTCGAACGCGTTGCACCATCCACAATTGGCGTCCGCGTCATAACGAGTGCCTTCCCCGATACGTTCAGCGCGTTGTGTCATCCGTTTCGCGTCCGCCTTATCAAGAGTGCCGCTTTCCCCGACACGTTGCATCACCCACTTCGCGACGCGTTAACGACGCGGCATTCTAGGAGAACAAAAATGGGCCTTGTTGTCGTTTTGTTTTGCGCGAACCCCTGGTCTGGCTTAACAGCGAGGGCCGGTGGAGTGCAGACAACGCAACAGCGGAGTGGGGCTCACCTTGTCTCTCGTCTTGTCCGCAAGAGGCGGCGTCTTCGCGTCGGCGGGAGCCTCCTCCTCGTTGCCGTCTACGACGAGAGAATGCGCACGCACGTCATCATCGTCGTCACGCTCTCATCGATATTAGCATCACCATCACCCCCAACCTCTCATCATCACCCTCTCATCATCACCACTACCCTCTCATCATCACCACCCGCTCATCACCATCACCACCACCACCCTTTCATCATCATCATTACCACCACCCTCTCATCATCATTACCATTACCCTCATCAGAATCACCACCACCACCCTTTCATCATCATTACCACCACCCTTTCATCATCACCATTACCACCACCCTTTCATCATCACCATTAACACCACCCTCATCAAAATCATCATCATCACAACCATCTCATCATTACCACCACCCTCACCATTTTATCATCCCCACCACCACCAACCTCTCATCACCACCACCACCACTCTCATCACCACCACTCTCTCATCACCACCACCACTACCCTCTCATCATCATTACCATCAGCCTCATGAAAATCATCATCATCACCACAACCATCTCATCACCACCACTACCCTCCTCCTCGCCCTCCTCTCTGCCTGCCGCTCATCTCCAGCCGTGACCCCCCCCCACCGTCCCCCCCAGCAAGAGGTCGCAATCAGGTACCCGATACCCGTACCCTACCCGTACCCAGTCGGGTACGGGTAGGGTACGGGTACGGAATCAAAACCCGTTTGCGACCTCTGCCCCCAGCCCTGCTTTGTCCGTCTTGGGGAATTCCATCCAGGAATCCCATCCCATATTCCGTTCTCTATTCCCCACTCATTACCATCAACGACTCTGCTCACCCTTTCCCATGATGCGCCAAGGGTAGTAAGTTTTTTTTTCTATTATGATTATCATAATCACGACTTGCGTCGCTTAAAATATATAGCGTGCGTGCACGCGGCTGCACTTACGACGTAAAATAATCCAATTAAGAAAACGGCACCCTCTCTTATTGAGCATCGTAGTAGTAGTAGTAGTCGGTACAATAACACCATAAACCTACACGATTAGCTTTTATCTTTTTAGTGCAAATAAAGAAACTTTAAGGCCACTTAAATCCGAGCAGATTGGGCTTGTTTACACAATACGGGCGCGCGAGAGTGCCATAAAACCCCGGCTATTGGCACACGGCACGCACCACACCACCACGAACGTTGGCACCACCACGGCACCACCACGCACGGCACCACCACGCACGGCACCACCACGCACGGCACCACCACGCACGGCACCACCACGCACGGCACCACCACGCACGGCACCACCACGCACGGCACCACACACGGCACCACCACGCACGGCAGTGCAGCCAGACCAGTAGCAAGCACCGTGCATATACCACCTTGTCCTCAAGATGAGTAACAATCATAATCATCATTATTTCAAGCAGCAGCGGCAGCAGCAGCCGCTGCTGGGTGAAGGCCCTCCCGTTCCCCCGATCCCACCAGCACCTCCACTTTTGCACGCCACGCGCTAAAAACTAAACTGTAAACTTGTTTTTTTTTTAGCAGGTGTAAGAACCACCACTGAGCACTTTGTAATGAGCGACCTGGTCACCACAAATGGTAGATCAAAGAAGTGGCTTATCATCATCAAGTGGATTTTTTTAAAGCCAAATAACTCCAAAACCCGTGGTGACGTTGACTCAAAATTGGAGGACCCGGAGAAAAATCCACGCGATCACGGGGAGGGAGAGAGACACGCAAACTCCAAATATACAGCAGGCATCGTCAGGGTCGGGATCGAACCCACGACCTCCTGTAGACCAGGCGAGGTAGTTAACATCTCACCACGGGGAGAGAGGCACGCAAACTCCAAATATACAGTAGGTGTCTTCAGGGTCAGGATCAAACCCACGACCTCCTGTATGCAAGGTGAGGTAGTTAGCATCTCCTCGCCACCGTGGCTGATTTCATTGTCACTCCATCTCCTCCCCAGATAGTCCTCACCGACATTGGCTGGAGTTGGAAAATCTAATTCAGGTCATCGCTGGGTATGTAGCGGAAATACACTGACCAGGAAGCCACCGTGCCACCCCAGGGCTTAGCTCAACTTATTCTGCTTACACAAAGACAAAGATCCCCCGTGTAGCCTTAATAAACTGTAGGGGAAAGTGCTGTTAGCGAGTAGCACCTATGAAGGCCGGCACGGCACACGAGGGGGTGGGTGGCCAGCACCACGCCCGACCGCCTTTTTCTCCCCAGAGGTGATGTTTACCACACACCGCACCAGGTAGTCATTTGAGGCTGAGTCGACCTAGGGGAGGCCCAGGACCGGTTCAGATAATCATCACCCGGGTTGGCCGTGAGCGGGAATCGAACCCGGATCGCCAGGTTCGTAGCGCAGCGTAGCGCTAATCACTACACTACCACTCACCACACACACAACCGCATCGGCATTGCAACAACAACATCACAACCGGTGACCAAAGACCAATTTATACCGTGAGCCACTTTCTGATTTCCAATATCCCCAGCGGTGCTGAGATCCAAATTGAAAAGGAACTCCGTTAAAAGCCTCGACGGGAGGGGAATAGAAGACGCGCAAGTGTGTGTGCGAGTGTGTGCATGCGTGAGTGCATGCGTGAGTGTGTGCGTGTGTGTGTGTGTGTGTGCGCGTATGCGTGTGTGCATGCGTGAGTGCGTGCGTGTGCGCATGCGTGAGTGTGCGCATGCGTGAGTGTGCGCGCGTGAGTGTGTGCGCGCATGCGTGAGTGCGCGTGCGTGCAGGAGGCTCGTGAAGGACGCTACTGGGCAGATACAGGCAGCCACTGCATGCCCAATCAGCTTCTGTTTGGCCAGAAAGAATGGGGCTAAAAGGGGCGCAAGCACGTGCTGGAGAAGAGACGGGCTGACATGGTACGGGAGGATGTGGAGCTGATTGGGCTTGCCGGTGACCGATACCAGCGGTGTTAAGATCGGCCTCTGTGGAGTTTCGTGAAGAACGCTACTGGTCAGTTGGGAGGCAATCGCCCACCAACAACAACGGAGGGCAGAGGAGCGACGCTCGCAACAACGAGCGGAGCGCCGGGCGGATTTGGTGGCACAGCTGGTTCATCTGCCAGTCATCTCAGTCAGCCGACCTACGGCGCCTGCTGGATCTGTCCCGTGACCTCCTGATGAAGAGGCCTCCACACTTCGCGTGATGGACTCAAAGTGCACCGAGCCTGGCACAACCGCTGTGGTGCCGATACCGGCATTAAATGGTTGTTTTACGTGAGGGGAGAAACCCATGAATGTCGGCACAGCACACAAGGGGGTGTGTGGTGCAGTCAGTACCCCGCCCAGCCGTCTTTCTTTCCCCAGTGCGCTGATGTTTAATACGCACTCCACCATGTGAACTGATTTGAGGTTCAGTCGACCCAGGGGAGGCCCAGGGCCAGTTCAAATAATCGTCACTGGTGTTGGCCGTGAGTGGGAGTTGAATTCAGAGCACTGGGTACATAGCGCGGCATAGCACTAAGCACTACACTACCGCTCCAAAGACAAAGATCCCCCATATAGCTTTAACAGACTGTAGGAGCAAGTGCTGTTAGCGAGCACCTATGAAGGCCGGAACGGTACACGAGGGGGTGGGTGACAACACCACGCCCGGCCGCCTTTGTCTCCCCAGTGGCGATGTTCACACACCGCACCAGTTACTCGTTTGAGGCTGAGTCGACCTAGGGGAGGCCCAGGACCGGTTAAAATAATCGTCGCCGGTGGTGGCCGTGAGCGGGAATCGAACTCGGGTCGCCGGGTTCGTAGCGCTAACCGCTACACTATAATGCGCGACGCTTCCACATGCGCGGGTCACGTGACAGATGTGACGTCACAGCTCACTTGCCGGGCAAAATATATTTGAATTATTGAGCTCCCCCCCCCCAAAAAAAAGTGTATTTTAATAATGTTTGCATGGTGTACAGTCTGGAAAGTACCCACATGGCAAATTTCAAGTTTGTTGCATGTCGGGAAGTACGCTAAACATTTTGAACAGACACACATAATCACAACTTGGCCTTTTATATCTATGGAGATGACTTGTAGCTTTGTGACTGCAGGAATTCATATTCTTCGGGTCTTTCGGTAAAGTCACGTAGATTGGTGCAAATGAATAAAAAATAATAAACATAAAATAAATAAACTACAGCGTTTCGATCACAAACTACAACAACATAAGCAATTGAAACGTCGTAGTTTATTGTTTATTTTATTATTTTTATTCACTTGTTCCTATCTACGTGTGTTTGCATGTTCATCACGAGCCCCGTGCGTGGTTACTGCAGTAGCCCGATTCCTTGAAAAAGGTTTCAATTTGGTGTTTTAACATCTTAACATATCCTGCTTTATTGCCAGAAAGGGTAAAACCTATTCTTCTTTTTTCATATTATTGCAATATACTACTTATAGTGATAGGTTTTTACCCTTTCAACTGGTACAAAAAACTGACACCTTTATACAAGGGATCATGTTTGCAATAACCACAACACAAGCAGTCAAAATGCAAATAAAAATAAACAACTCTGATGATGATAATGATATGCACTGTCCTTGTCATCATCAGAGTTGTTTCTCTTTGTTTGCATTTTGACTGCTTGCGTTGTGGTTATTGCAAACATGATGCCTTGTATAAAGGTGACAGTTTCTGTACCAGTTGAAAGGGTAAAAACCTATCACTATATTTTGCCACTGGTAAAGGAGGTCTCATAGTGTAAATATACTACTTGTTTGTATACAATGAAATCACAAATATTATTTTAATTCATAGGCCTGCCCTTTCCTAGATCGCCTGCCTGGTTTGAGTGACCTCTTACGGCTGTTCATTCAGGCAAGAGTGGAGGGCGGGAGTCATGTTCTGGGCCTACCAATCACTCATGTATAAATGAATACATTCATGGGCCATATTTGACTGAAAAGGCTCTGGCCCTGATGCAAACCAGAGCAAGGAGGTATTAATCCCTCAAATGATCTTCTCACTGGCTCATCAACCCATAAACATTTGCTCACTCAATCATCCGCCCACCTACCCACAAAGTCACTCAAACCACGAACTCATCCACTCACTCAGCCACCGGCCCACTGACTCATTCGCCCGAGCACACACTCACCGCCTCGTCTAGCTCAACCACCCACCCACCAACTCGTGCACTTAACAAAGAACCTACCACCCATCAACTCACTCACTCCACCAGCAACCACTCACCAACTCACTCAGCCACCAAACCTACAAAAACTCAAATACAAACTCATTAATTTACTCACTCACACACCGACTACCCCCCCCCACCACCTACTCACTCATCCACTGACTCAAGCATCAATGCACATAATCACTCCATGACCCACTCCTTCAGTAAACCACTTGCCGAACGCCTCACTCAGTCGCTCAACCACCTACTCACCGACTCGCCCACCCATTAAACTCACAAACTCACTCATTCACCTACCCACTCAACCACCTTGTCACCAACTCACTCAATGAATCGCCCAACCAGATACATCTAAGTCACCTACCCACAAACTCACTCACTCACCTACCCACTCAACTACCTTGTCACCCACTCACTCAATGAATCACCCAACCAGATACATCTAAATCACCTACCCACAAACTCACTCACTCACCTACCCACTCAACTACCTTGTCACCAACTCACTCAATGAATCGCCCAATCACATACATCCAAATCACCTACCCACAAACTCACTCACTCACCTACCCACTCAACTACCTTGTCACCAACTCACTCAATGAATCGCCCAACCACGTACATCTAACTCACCCACTCGATCATTTACTCACCGACCTCACCCAAGGACTCACTAAATTACGAAAACACTCACTAAGCCTCCTACCTGCCAACTAAGTCACTCAACCGCGCACTCACTCGACTACCTTGCAATCCACTCACTCGTTCACTTACAGAGTAGCTCAACAGCTTATCAAATCGCCTACACACCAACTAACTCGCTCGCTCACTTACCTCCTCTCTCAACGACCTTATCATCAAATCATTCATTCACTCGTAATAATAACGACGGTGATGTCAACTTGCAACATGCCGCACAGTACTCGCTCGCTCTCGTAGAGAGAGAACGACTCCGAGGTGACAGGAGGAGGAACCAGACGAGAGGATAGGCGGCATCCAAGCGCTGAGCTGGCACGACATTTTTCCTCCCCCAAGCTCTGTGATCCTCTATATATAAAGGAGTTATCGGCCAAGTAAACATATTCCTCCTGCGGAGGGAGCTGGTAGGAACGTCGGGTTGCTCGGTCAATGGCCTGCAGGGTCAACGGCGGCGTGGTGTATTCCGCAAATAAGCCCGACTGTGAGGGCGGGCACAAGCCGGCGTGAGTAGGTTAAACGTTGAGTTTTATAAGGGCACCACGGGGTGACCAGCCCCTCCCCACCCAGCCCCACCCCCCACCCAGCCCCCCCCACCCAGCCCCCCCCCACCCAGCCCCTCCCCACCCAGCCCCTCCCCACCCAGCCCCTCCCCACCCAGCCCCTCCCCACCCAGCCCCTCCCCACCCAGCCCCTCCCCCCAGCCCTCCCCACCCAGCCCCTCCCCACCCAGCCCCTCCCCACCCAGCCCCTCCCCACCCAGCCCCTCCCCACCCAGCCCCTTCCTCCCCAACCAGCCCCTTCCTCCCCAACCAGCCCCTTCCTCCCCAACCAGCCCCTTCCTCCCCAACCAGCCCCTTCCTCCCCAACCAGCCCCTTCCTCCCCAACCAGCCCCTTCCTCCCCAACCAGCCCCTTCCTCCCCAACCAGCCCCTTCCTCCCTACCCAGCCCCTTCCTCCCCACCCAACCCTCCCCACCCAGCCCCTCCCCACCCAGCCCCTCCCCACCCAGCCCCTCCCCACCCAGCCCCTCCCCACCCAGCCCCTTCCTCCCCAACCAGCCCCTCCCCACCCAGCCCCTCCCTGCACGACGGACGGACAGACACAATAATCCCCTGTGGTGTAACCAGGAGGTTCCTACCAGTATCAGCGTTATTGTGCAGGAGGAAACCGCAGCACCCGGAAAGCACCCGTACGTGCAAGGGAGCAACGCTCGATCTCATACAGCTCGAACAGATGGGAGCCCACATTTGCTCTACGGCATTCTCCTGGCGAAGTCAGTGTACGGGCTCCTCATCGATGCCCACGGGAAGATGGGGAGCTTCGTAACGTTTGTGTACGGGTGATACACCAACCCCGGCTACTGCCGCCGCAGCGCTGGATTACAGGCCGCCACGCGCATAGCCACTGCTCACCCACTCAACAACGCCCGCCATTAGCCACTTAGTGATGGTGACGTCTCCACGACGCTTGTGCCAGGCCAGGTGCACTTTGAGGCCACGTGAAGTGTCGAAGGCTCACTGACAGGAGGTCACGGGACAGACCCAGGTGCCATGGGTTGACTGAGATGACCAGCTGTGCCCCCCCTCTACTGTGACAACACGCTGCATTTTAGCCGCCCGGCGCTCCGCTCGTTGTTGTGAGCGTCGCTCCTCTGCCCTTCGTTGTTGTGTGGCGGGCGACTGCCTCCAACTGCCCAGCAGCGGCCTTCACGAGCCTCCTCCATCCATCCACTCGCTCACCTACCTACCTACCCAATCAACTCACCTCCCCATTCACCCGCTCGCTCACCCACCACCAGCTCACCCGCACACACTCACCGGAGCCCATGATTTCTGCCTCCGCCTCTTCCTCGCCGACCGACTGAGTCATGAAGTCCTGCAGCTTCTGCACCAGGGAGTCGAGCTTCTTACTGCAAGCGCACAGAGACACAAAGATAAATTTCCCCCCCCCACCATGTAACCTCAGACTGTTCGGGGCAAGTGCTGTTTGCGAGTAGCACCTATGAAGGCCGGCACATCGCACGAGGTGAGGGGCGGGGAGCACCATGCCCGGCCGCCTTTGTCTCCCCAATGGTGATGTTTACATGCCGTACCGGGTACCAGAGGTCGCAATCGGGTACCCGATACCCGTACCCTACCCGATACCCGGCTACCCGTACCCGGCCGGGTACAGGTACCCGTTTGCGACCCTGGTGCGGCCGGGTACGGGTAGCCGGGTAGGCCGTGAGTCACAATGGTGAGTCACCGTTTGTCACTCATTTCCCAACGTCTTGTCTCTTCTCACAATTCAAGTTCCGAGAATCAACCCATCCGCGCCTGCAACATGGCTTCATCCCAGAGGTCGCAATCGGGTACCCGTACCCTACCCGATACCCGGCCGGGTATGGGTAGCCGGGTATCGGGTACGGGTACCCGATTGCGACCCTGGTGCGGCCGGGTACGGGTACGGGTAAGGAATCAAAACCAGTTTGCGACCTCTGGCATGCGGGCGATGTGAACCAGCAAACGCAGCCTCCCCTGTCGGAGCTCACCGATGCAACAGCACTCAAGATTATTTCAGGGGTGTGAGCTCCTCACACGATCCAGCATGGATCAGAGGCAGGCCAAGCAGAAAATGTAAAATCAGCCGATGTGTTCCTTCCAAGAGGTGGTCCACGTTTCGCAAGCAGAGCTTGTCGCCAAGAAGACTGGGAGCTTCGTGCGGAGCGACAGGCCGCTCGACCGATTTGGAGCAAGTTCTTCGCTGCCAAACCGAAGTTGGTCAGAAGCACACGGCCCAGGTAAGGCAAACAATTCCACTCTCTCCACAACCAAATTAACACACGCAACAACCGCCCTTGACCACGAAGTGGCAGCGATGTCAGCCCGGCACTTGTGCCACGCTGGGTGCACTTTGAGGCCCACGTGAAGTGTCGAAGGCTCGCTGGCAGGAGGTCACGGAACAGACCAAGTTGCCATGGGTCAACTGACTGAGATGCAGAGGTCGCAACCGGGTACCCGATACCCGTACCCTACCCGATACCCGGCTACCCGTACCCGGCCAGGTACAGGTACCCGTTTGCGACCTTGGTGCGGCCGGGTACGGGTAGGCCGTGAGTCACTGGTGAGTAACCGTTTGTCACTCATTTCGGGTAGGGTACGGGTAGGGAACGGGTACCCGTTCCCTACCTAGCCGGGTACCCATTTGCGACCCTGGTGCGGCCGGGTACGGGTAAGGAATCAAATCCCGTTTGCGACCTCTGCCGAGATGACACAAAGACACCCCGCTTAGGATGAACAGACTGTTGGGGCAAGTGCTGTTGGTGAGTACCTATGAAGGCCGGCACGGCACACGAGGGGGTGGGTGGCCAGCAACACGCCCGGCCGCCTTTGTCTCCCCAGTGGCGATGTTTACACACCACACCAGCTACTCATTTAAGGTCGAGGCGACCCACTATTGGGGAACAAATACTGTTCCCGAACACCCATGAAGGCCGGCACGTGTCACACGAGTGTGCCGAGTGGTTTGTAAGCCAGCAACAGCCCCGGCCGCCTTTGTCTCCCCCCCCCCTCCCCACCCCAGTGACAATGTTGAGTACAGTGCATAACCGCAACAAGCTGAGGTGGAGTCCACCCCCGCTCAACCACGCTACTCACTCCACACGCTACTCACTGTACACTCCACCCGTTACACACTGTACACGCTACTCTACTCACGCCACACGCTACGCACTGTACACTACACACGTTACACACTGTACACACTACTCGCTACTCACTGTACACTCCACACGTTACACACTGTACACTCCACACGCTACTCCACCCGATACACTGTACACGCTACTCTACTCACTCCACGAGTTACACACTGCACACTCCACGCGTTACACACTGCACACTACACACTGTACACACTACATACTGTACACTCCACACGTTACACACTGTACACTCCACACGCTACACTGTACACTCCACACGTTGCACTGTACACGCTACTCACTGTACACACTACTCGCAACTCACTGTACACACTACTCGCAACTCACGTTACACACTGTACACGCTACACACTGTACACTCCACACTGTACACACTGTACACTCCACACGCTACTCACTGTACACTCCACACGCTACTCACTGTACACTCCACTCGCTACTCACTCCTCACGCCAGCAACTGCACATGCAGCGATCCACTCACGTTACAGGCACAGAACACAGAACGCACTCGTAGCAGCGATTACAAAGAGGGCGGAAATTACGGGCACGATATATTGCAATTAACTTACAGAAGTTAACCTATATCTTTCATATTTATGCACACACACACGCACGTAGCAATTGCAATGGCGTTGACAAGACACCCAACGCGCACATCCAACGTTAAATTAACCAAAATATAACAAAAATCCCCACAAAGGGTGACGTCACTCGCCATTGCAATTCCTACCCCGCACGCGCTCTCCGCGCGATCCCATTGGCCGCGGCCGCGTCACGTGGTGCCCGGTACACCAATGGGGAAATGCGCGCGCGGGCTCGTCCGCTTATCCGCTCTAGCATTTTCGAGCAGTGGGCCCAATTTCCCCCCCCCCCCCACCGAAATTTTTTTGTTTCTGAGGCGAAATGATTTTAATTTATTTACAACAAAAATTCTGTCGGGGGTAGTAGTTTCAACAAAAACGAACAAAATAAAATAGATTGTCGCCCAATTGCCGATCGATCGATCGATCGACCGTTCGACGACGACCGCTAAAAAGAAAAAACCACCACACAACGCAGCGAGAACCTTCTAGGCCCACGCGTGGAGGCGGGAAAATGTCACGGCTCGCACGGGACGAACACGGCAGCAACAATAAGACAAGAACAGCCGCATAAGACGACGACAACGACGACGAAGACAAAGACGACGAGAACGGACTTACAAATAAAAATGTTATTACCTCTTTCGTTTAGTCGCCATAACGGCGCCGGCTTTCCCGCCCGCGTCGTTTCCTCCTCCTCCTCCCTCCTCCTCCTCCTCGCCTCCTCCCTCCGCCACGGGCGAGTTTGTTTGTTTCCCAGTCTCCGTTGTTTTGTTTGTTTCGTTGTTGTTGTTGTTGTAGTCGTTGCCGCGTCCGTCTTTGTCTTTCTCTCTCTCGCTCCCGTCTGGCCTCAGAGATGGACGCTACGCGGGTTTTTTTTTGGGGGGGGGAGGTTAGGACGAGGGGGGCGGGGCTCTCACACGCACGTCACTTCCGTGCGGGTGTCGTCACTTCCCCCCGCCTGGCGTGACGTTGCAGCGCGTGTTTATATACAAGAGGGGAGGGGGGGTGGGGGGTGGTGGTGGGTGGGGGGTGGTGGTGTTGGGGGGAGGGGTGGTGGGGGTGGTGATGGGAGGTAATGACAGGGGAGTCAGTAGTGAGTGTGAAGGGACTGGTGGCCACGGGAGGTAGTGACGGGGGAGTCAGTAGTGAGTGTGAAGGGACTGGTGGCCACGGGAGGTAATGACAGGGGAGTCAGTTGTGAGTGTGAAGGGACTGGTGGTGATGGGAGGTAATGACAGGGGAGTCAGCCTGCAGTGGGAGTGGACTGGTGGCCACGGGAGGTAATGACAGGGGAGTCAGCCTGCAGTGGGAGTGGACTGGTGGCCACGGGAGGTAATGACAGGGGAGTCAGTTGTGAGTGTGAAGGGACTGGTGGCCACGGGAGGTAATGACAGGGGAGTCAGCTGTGAGTGCGAAGGGACTGGTGGCCACGGGAGGTAATGACAGGGGAGTCAGTTGTGAGTGTGAAGGGACTGGTGGCCACGGGAGGTAATGACAGGGGAGTCAGTTGTGAGTGTGAAGGGACTGGTGGCCACGGGAGGTAATGACAGGGGAGTCAGTTGTGAGTGTGAAGGGACTGGTGGCCACGGGAGGTAATGACAGGGGAGTCAGTTGTGAGTGTGAAGGGACTGGTGGCCACGGGAGGTAATGACAGGGGAGTCAGTTGTGAGTGTGAAGGGACTGGTGGCCACGGGAGGTAATGACAGGGGAGTCAGCCTGCAATGGGAGTGGACTGGTGGCCACGGGAGGTAGTGACAGGGGAGTCAGCTGTGAGTGTGAAGGGACTGGTGGCCACGGGAGGTAATGACAGGGGAGTCAGTTGTGAGTGTGAAGGGACTGGTGGCCACGGGAGGTAATGACAGGGGAGTCAGCTGTGAGTGTGAAGGGACTGGTGGCCACGGGAGGTAATGACAGGGGAGTCAGTTGTGAGTGTGAAGGGACTGGTGGCCACGGGAGGTAATGACAGGGGAGTCAGCTGTGAGTGTGAAGGGACTGGTGGCTACGGGAGGTAATGACAGGGGAGTCAGTTGTGAGTGTGAAGGGACTGGTGGCCACGGGAGGTAGTGACGGGGGAGTCAGTTGTGAGTGTGAAGGGACTGGTGGCCACGGGAGGTAATGACAGGGGAGTCAGTTGTGAGTGTGAAGGGACTGGTGGCCACGGGAGGTAATGACAGGGGAGTCAGTTGTGAGTGTGAAGGGACTGGTGGCCACGGGAGGTAATGACAGGGGAGTCAGTTGTGAGTGTGAAGGGACTGGTGGCCACGGGAGGTAATGACAGGGGAGTCAGCCTGCAATGGGAGTGGACTGGTGGCCACGGGAGGTAGTGACAGGGGAGTCAGCTGTGAGTGTGAAGGGACTGGTGGCCACGGGAGGTAATGACAGGGGAGTCAGTTGTGAGTGTGAAGGGACTGGTGGTTACGGGAGGTAATGACAGGGGAGTCAGTTGTGAGTGTGAAGGGACTGGTGGCCACGGGAGGTAATGACAGGGGAGTCAGTTGTGAGTGTGAAGGGACTGGTGGCTACGGGAGGTAATGACAGGGGAGTCAGTTGTGAGTGTGAAGGGACTAGTGGCTACGGGAGGTAATGACAGGGGAGTCAGTTGTGAGTGCGAAGGGACTGGTGGCTACGGGAGGTAATGACAGGGGTATCAGTTGTGAGTGCGAAGGAACTGGTGGCCACGAGAGGTAATGACAGGGGAGTCAGTTGTGAGTGCGAAGGGACTGGTGGCTACGGGAGGTAATGACAGGGGAGTCAGTTGTGAGTGTGAAGGGACTGGTGGCCACGGGAGGTAATGACAGGGGAGTCAGTTGTGAGTGCGAAGGGACTGGTGGCCACGGGAGGTAGTGACAGGGGAGTCAGTTGTGAGTGCGAAGGGATTGGTGGCCACGGGAGGTAATGACAGGGGAGTCAGTTGTGAGTGTGAAGGGACTGGTGGCCACGGGAGGTAATGACAGGGGAGTCAGTTGTGAGTGCGAAGGGACTGGTGGCCACGGGAGGTAGTGACGGGGGAGTCAGTTGTGAGTGTGAAGGGACTGGTGGCCACGGGAGGTAATGACGGGGGAGTCAGTTGTGAGTGCGAAGGGACTGGTGGCTACGGGAGGTAATGACAGGGGAGTCAGTTGTGAGTGTGAAGGGACTGGTGGCTAAAGGAGGTAATGACAGGGGAGTCAGCTGTGAGTGTGAAGGGACTGGTGGCTATGGGAGGTAATGACAGGGGAGTCCGTTGTGAGTGTGAAGGAAATGGTGGCCACGGGAGGTAATGACAAGGGAGTCAGTTGTGAGTGCGAAGGGACTGGTGGCTACGGGAGGTAATGACAGGGGAGTCAGCTGTGAGTGCGAAGGGACTGGTGGCTACGGGAGGTAATGACAGGGGAGTCAGTTGTGAGTGTGAAGGGAATGGTGGCCACGGGAGGTAATGACAGGGGAGTCAGTTGTGAGTGTGAAGGGACTGGTGACCACGGGAGGTAATGACAGGGGTATCAGTTGTGAATGCGAAGGGACTGGTGGCTACCGGAGGTAATGACAGGGGAGTCAGCCTGCAGTGCGAGTGGACTAGTGGCCACGGGAGGTAATGACAGGGGAGTCAACCGACAGTACGAGTGGACTAGTGGCCACGGGAGGTATTGACAGGGGAGTCAGCCTGCAGTATGAATGGACTGGTGGCTACGGGAATGATCGAGAATAGGAGCGTGGCCAGGTGATGGAAGAGGATGGTGGAGTCTGCCGCTAGAGCGAGCGGTCTAGAACCAGCGAGAAAGTTCGGGAATGGGGGCGTAGCCTCGGACCGTATAGAAGGGGGAGATGCACGGGAGACTTGGGCCTGTTGCCGTGGGGGTCTCCGCCTGTCAGAGTGTGACCACGTGGCTCCTTAATAAAGAAAACCTTCCCAGTACAAGTGCGTCGAAGTGGTCTTGACACCGATATAATCATCTGGCAGTTCGCCAGCGTCGGTTCAAGCGAGCCAGATGACTGCTGATCAAGTTTTTCAAGTTTCATTTATTAGCTATAGCCCTGTGAGCCATTCGGCTCTTGAATCGGGTGCAACCGCAACAAACAAAAAAACTAAAACATCAACAAGAAAACATATTAAAGTGAAATAAAAATAAAATAAAATCACGACGTTTTGGAGGCAACACAAGCTTCCGTTGATACAGGTGGAACAGTCACAGCATGATAGTTGTATCAAGTGATACACTTGTGATACACTTGATGCAGCTATCGTGCTGTGACTGTTCCACCTGAAGACGGAAGCTTGTGTTGCCTCCGAAACGTCGTGATTTTTATTTTATTTGTATTTTACTTTTATTAATTGTAATTTTTAACCTACGTGACTTTACCGAAAAAACCTAAGAATATGAATCCTTGCAGTCACGAAAGCTTCAAATCTAGAATCTTAAAGTGACTATGTGCAAACAGAAAATCCAAGAAAATACAGCAAAATATTGCAGAAAAAGCACCGTACACCAACGCTGATGAGACACAAAATGTCAGAACTGGTCCAAAGTTGTGCTTGTGTTGCACCGGTGATACTGGTAGGAACCGTCAGGTTCCACCAGCCCACAGGGGATTATTGTGTCCGTCCGTCGTGCAGGGAGGGGCTGGGTGGGGAGGGTGGGGCTGGGTGGGGAGGGTGGGGAGGGGCTGGGTGGGGAGAGTGGGGCTGGGTGGGGATGGGTGGGGATGGGCTGGGTGGGGAGGGTGGGGATGGTGGGGAGGGGCTGGGTGGGGAGGGTGGGGAGGGGCTGGGTGGGGAGGGTGGGGCTGGGTGGGAGGGGTGGGGCTGGTCACCCCGTGGTGCCCTTATAAAACTCAACGTTTCACCTACTCACGCCGGCTTGTGCCCGCCCTCACAGTCGGGCATATTTGCGGAATACACCACGCCGCCGTTGACCCTGGCCATTGACCGAGCAACCCAACGTTCCTACCAGCTCCCTCCGCAGGAATGTGTTAATGGGGCTTCACGGTGGCTAGGAGATGTTAACTACCTCGCCTGGTCTACAGGAGGCCGTGGGTTCAATCCCGACCCCGACGCCTGCTGTATATTTGGAGTTTGCGTGTCTCTCTCTCTCCCTGTGGCGGTCGCGTGGATTTTTCTCCGGGCCCCCCCCCCAGTTTTCCCCTCCACGTTTAAAATTAACGCGCGTTCAGAGCATTTCACTGCTATACATTTCCACATGACGATAAGCCACTTCTCGTTCAGCTCTCATTTGTAGCCGGGATGCTTCTGAAAGCGCTACAAACCCAGCGATCAGAGTTCGATTCCCGCTGACGATTATCTGAACCGGTCCTGGGCCTCCCCTAGGTCGACTCGGCCTCAAATGAGTACCTGGTGCGGTGTGTAGTAAACATCGCCACTGGGGAGACAAAGGCGGTCGGGCGTGGTGCTGGCCACCCACCCCCTCGTGTGCCGTGCCGGCCTTCATAGGTGCTCGCTAACAGCACTTGCCCCTACAGTCTGCTAAGGCTACACGGGGGATCTTTGTCTTTATCTTTGTGGGTTTGGCCACCCACCCCCTCGTGTGCCGTGCCGGCCTTCATAGATGCTACTCGCTAACAGCACTTGCCCCTACAGTCTGTTAAGGCTACACCGGGAAATCTTTGTCTTCATGTTTGTGGGTTTGGCCACCCACCCCCTCGTGTGCCATGCCGGCCTTCATAGGTGCTCGCTAACAGCACTTGCCCCAATAGTCTGCTAAGGCTACACGGGGGACCTTTGGTACATTTGTCGAGTAAATAAGATGCACTCCCTGGGAGATGAGGCCAAGTGTCTCTTGCAGGATGCGAGAATGCACAAATATTCTTAAACACATTTGTAAGTTGACGAGGCAGATGTGGGAGGGAGTAGGCAGGTGGTCTGCTCATTTATTTTGTTGCACAACTCATACAAAGAAAACCGAGGAAATAATTATAAAACATTACACGCTCCGCTCACTCGAACCGTGACTACTACGAGGATGGAGATGATGATGATGATGGAGATGATGGAGATAGAGATGATGATGGAGATGGAGATGATGATGGAGATGATGATGGAGATGATGATGATGGAGATGATGATGATGGAGATGATGATGGAGATGATGATGATGATGATGATGGAGATGATGATGATGATGGAGATGATGATGGAGATGATGATGGAGATGATGATGGAGATGATGATGATGATGGAGATGACTGATGATGATGATGATGATGGAGATGATGATGATGGAGATGATGATGATGGAGATGATGATGATGATGACTGATGATGAGGATGGAGATGATAATGAAGATGATGATGATGATGATGGAGATGATGATGATGATGAAGATTGATGATGATGGAGATGATGATGGATGGAGATGATGATGGAGATGATAATGGAGATGATGACGATGATGATGACGGAGATGATGATGACGGAGATGATGATGGAGATGATGATGATGGAGATGATGATGATGGAGATGATGATGAAGATGATGATAATGGAGATGATGATGGAGATGATGATGGAGATGATGAGGATGGAGATGATGATGATGATGGAGATGATGATGGAGAAGATGATGATGATGGAGATGATGATGATGATGATGGAGATGACTGATGAAGATGATGATGGAGATGATGGAGATGATGATGGAGATGATGATGACGGAGATGATGATGATGAAGATGATGACGGAGATGATGATGAAGATGATGATTATGGAGATGACTGATGATGATGGCGGAGATGATGACGGAGATGATGTTGATGTTTATTCAAGAAAATAGAGAATCACATTGACGATCTTTCCAAAAAGCATCCTGGTTCAGTTTTCCCCTCCAGTGATGGGAAGCGCGCGGTGATGATGAGGTTGACAATGAGGTTGGCGATGATAGGGATGGTAATGATGACGAAGATGATGACCGTCGCAAGACGACGGTGATGACGATGTTGATGAGCGTGACGTTTTTACGATTGTTGACAATATTAACGGTGATGATAACGAAGATGCTGATGACGATGATGACAATAACGATGTTGCTGTCAATGATGTTGTTGTTGATGATGATAATAATGATGTTGTTGTTGATGATGATGACGATGATAATGTTGACGATGTTACTTCCATCATCTTTCCTCCATTCGCCAATGCCATCTTCACTTTATAAGAAAGCTGAGAAAATGAGACACAAACATCGCGACTGGGTCAGACAAGGAATTAATCCGTTGTACACGACTTCTAGACTCACACAGAGACCCACAGACTCGCACGGAGAGCCACAGACTCACACGGAGAGCCACAGACTCGCACAGACTCACACAGAGACCCACAGACTCACACAGAGACCCACAGACTCACACAGACACCCACAGACTCACACAGACACCCACAGACTCACACGGAGAGCCACAGACTCACACGAAGAGTCACAGACTCAGACAGAGACCCATAGACTCACACAGAGACCCATACTCACAGAGACACACAGACTCACACAGAGATCCACAGACTCACACAGAGATCCACAGACTCATACAGAGAGCCACAGACTCACACAGAGAACCACAGGCTCGTACAGAGAGCCACAGGCTCACACAGAGAGCCACAGGCTCGCACAGAGACCCACAGGCTCGCACAGAGACCCACAAACTTGCACAGAGACCCACAGACTTGCACAGAGACCCAGACACACAGATACCCACAGACTCGCACAGAGACCCACAGACTCGCACAGAGACCCAGACACACAGAGACCCACAGACTCGCGCAGAGACCCACAGACTCACACAGAGACCCACAGACTCGCACAGAGACCCACAGACTCACACAGAGACCCACATACTCGCACAGAGACCCACATACTCGCACAGAGACCCACATACTCACACAAAACCCACAGACTCACACAAAGATCCACAGACTTACACAGAGACCCACAGACTCGCACAAAGACCCACAGACTCGCACAGAAACCCACAGACTCGCACAGAGACCCATAGACACACAGAGACCCACATACTCGCACAGAGACCCACATACTCACACAGAGACCCACAGACTCACACAGAGACCCACAGACTCACACAGAGACCCACATACTCACATAGAGACCCACAGACTCACACAGATACCCACATACTTACAGAGACCCACATACTCGCAGAGACCCACAAACTCACACAAAGATCCATAGACTCACACAGAGACCCACAGACTCACACAGAGCCACAGACTCACATAGAGACCCACAGACTCACACAGAGACCCACAGACTCACACAAAGACCCACAGACTCGCACAGAAACCCACAGACTCGCACAGAGACCCATAGACTTGCACAGAGACCCAGACACACAGAGACCCACAAACTCGCACAGAGACCCACAGACTCACACAGAGACCCACATACTCGCACAGAGACCCACAGACTCGCACGGAGACCCACAGACTCGCACAGAGACCCACAGACTCACACAGAGACCCACATACTCGCACAGAGACCCACAGACTCACACAGAGACCCACATACTCGCACAGAGACCCACAGACTCGCACAGAAACCCACAGACTCGCACAGAGACCCATAGACTTGCACAGAGACCCAGACACACAGAGACCCACAAACTCGCACAGAGACCCACAGACTCACACAGAGACCCACATACTCGCACAGAGACCCACAGACTCACACAGAGACCCACAGACTCACACAGAGACCCACAGACTCACACAGAGACCCACAGACTCACACAGAGACCCATTCACACAGAGTCCCACAGAGACCCACAGACTCGCACAGAGACCCACAGACTCACACAGAGACCCACAGACTCGCACAGAGACCCAGACACACAGAGACCCACAGACACACAGAGACCCACAGACTCGCACAGAGACCCACAGACACACAGAGACCCACAGACTCGCACAGAGACCCATAGACACACAGAGACCCACAGACTCGCACAGAGACCCACAGACACACAGAGACCCACAGAATCGCACAGAGACCCACAGACTCGCACAGAGACCCACAGACTCGCACAGAGACCCACAGAGACCCACAGACTCGCACAGAGACCCACAGACACACACAGAGACCCACAGACTCGCACAGAGACCCACAGACTCGCACAGAGACCCACAGACTCGCACAGAGACCCATAGACTCACACAGAGACCCACAGACTCACACAGAGACCCCAGACTCACACAGAGACCCACAGACTCGCACAGAGACCCACATACTCGCACAGAGACCCACAGACTCGCACAGAGACCCACAGACTCGCACAGAGACATACAGACTCGCACAGAGACCCATAGACTCACACAGAGACCCACAGACTCGCACAGAGACCCACAGACTCGCACAGAGACCCATAGACTCACACAAAGACCCACAGACTCACACAGAGACCCAGACACACAGAGACCCACAGACTCGCACAGAGACCCACTCACCTGTATGGGTAGCCGTGGTATTTGGAGCGGAAGATGGAGAGGAGGAAACTGAAGAAGAAAACGACGAGACCCAGGCCTACGAGACACAGGACTGACAAAAACAACAACATCGTCGTCGTCATCAACATCTCCAACACAGACACCATCACTGACATCAAAGACATCAACAACATCATGTCGATGATGCTGATGATAATTTTAATGATGCCGATTCTGTTGTTGATGCTGCTGCTGCTGCTGTTGATGCGACCGATTATGTTGTTGATGCTGCTGTTGAAGCGACTGCTGTTGCTGCTGCTGTTGATGCGACTGCTGTTGCTCCTGCTTTTGCTGCTGTTGCTGCTGTTGCTGCTACTTCTGTTGCTGCTGTTGATGTGACTACTGCTGTTGTTGCTGTTGTTGTTGATACTACTGCTGTTGATACTACTGCTGTTGATGCGGCTGTTGCTGTTGATGCTGTTGCTGATGCGACTGTTGCTTTTGCGACGGTTGCTGTTGCTGCTACTGCTGTTGATGCTGCAGTTGTTGTTGATGCTACTGCTGTTACTGTTGTTGATGCTACTGCTGCTGTAGCTGCTGTTGATGCTACTGCTGTTGTTGATGCTTTTGCTGCTGCTGCTGTTGACGCTACTGCTGTTGCTACTGTTGTTGCTGCTGCTGCTACTGTTGCTGCTGTTGACGCTACTGCTGTTGCTACTGTTGTTGCTGCTGCTGCTACTGTTGCTGCTGTTGACGCTACTGCTGCTGTTGACGCTACTGCTGTTGCTACTGTTGTTGCTGCTGCTGCTACTGTTGCTGCTGTTGACGCTACTGCTGTTGCTACTGTTGTTGCTGCTGCTGCTACTGTTGCTGCTGTTGACGCTACTGCTGTTGCTACTGTTGTTGCTGCTGCTGCTACTGTTGCTGCTGTTGACGCTACTGCTGTTGTTGATGCTACTGCTGTTGTTGATGCTGTTGCTGCTGTTTACGCTACTGCTGTTGCTACTGTTGCTGCTGCTGCTGTTGTTGATGTGACTGCTGCTGTTGATGCTACTGCTGTTGCTACTGTTGATGCTACTGCTGTTGATGCTGTTGCTGCTACTGCTGTTGATGCTGTTGCTGATGCGACTGCTGCTGTTGATGCTACTGCTGTTGCTACTGTTGCTGCTACTGCTGTTGATGCTGTTGTTGATGTGACTGCTGCTGTTGATGCTACTGCTGTTGCTACTGTTGCTGCTACTGCTGTTGATGCTGTTGTTGATGTGACTGCTGCTGTTGATGCTACTGCTGTTGCTACTGTTGCTGCTACTGCTGTTGATGCTGTTGCTGATGCGACTGCTGCTGCTGCTGTTGTTGATGCCGTCAACGCCGCTGCTGCTTCTGGTGTGACCCAAGCGGTCCCCTGGCTGCTGAATAATTCAGAGCGAGTAATCGCCGCGACAGCGACGATGGCGCTTGCTGCTGCTGCTGCTGCTGATCGTGACCCCACCGACTCATCGCGGCGCTCCGTGGGCTCAGCCAATTAGCGGCGAGCTCGTTAGTGAGCGCCGGGCAGACGGTGCTGGCTCATCGAGCCTCATCAACGGCGCGGTGATGGTGATCACCGGGCAGTAGTGGTGGCGATTACGTGGCGGTGGTGGTGATGGTGGTGGTGGTGGGGATGGTGGTGGTGGTGATGGTGGTGATGGGGATGGTGGCGGTGGTGGTGGTGGTGGTGATTATGGTGGTGGTGGTGATGGGGATGGCGGTGGTGGTGGTGATGATGATGGTGGTGGTGGTGATGATGGTGGTGGTGGTGGGGATGGCGGTGGTGGTGGCGATGATGGTGGTGGCGATGATGGTGGTGGCGATGATGATGGTGGTGATGATGGTGGTGGTGGTGATGATGGTGGTGGTGATGTTGGTGATGATGGTGGTGGCGATGATGATGGTGGTGATGATGGTGGTGGTGATGTTGGTGATGATGGTGGTGGTGATGGATAGAGGTGGTAATGGTGATAGAGGTGGTGGTAGTGGTGGTGATGGTGGTGATGATGGTGGTCGTGGTAGTGGTGGTGATGATTGGGTGATGGTGGTGATATTATTACGAGTGGCTTGTGTACATCCATGCCTCACTATTTCATTCAATCACTTGCTAAACCACTCGCCCTCACGGACCCTCACTCAAAAACCCCACCCACCCCCATGCCACCCACACCACCCGCACCACACCACGCCATCCACCCCCCCCACACCACACCACGCCACCCACACCATCCAAACCACCCACACCACGCCACCCACACCACGCCACCCACACCACGCCACCCACACCACGCCACCCACACCACGCCACCCACACCACGCCACCCACACCACGCCACCCACACCACCACACCACGCCATCCACCCCCACCACACCACACCACGCCACCCACCCCCACGCCACCCACGCCACGCCACCCACGCCACCCACACCACGCCACCCACACACGCCACCCACACACGCCACCCACACACACGCCACCCACCCCCACGCCACCCACCCCCACGCCACCCACACCACGCCACCCACCCCCACGCCACCCACACCACGCCACACACGCCACGCCACCCACAGCACGCCACCCACACCACCCACACCACGCCACTCACGCCACCCACAGCACGCCACCCACAGCACGCCACCCACACCACGCCACTCACGCCACCCACAGCACGCCACCCACACCACGCCACCCACACCACGCCACCCACACCACGCCACCCACACCACGCCACCCACACCACCCACCCACACCACGCCACCCACACCACGCCACCCACACCACCCAACACCCACACGCCCCACCCACACCACCCACACCACGCCACACACGCCACGCCACCCACACCACCCACACCACCCAACACCCACACGCCCCACCCACACCACACACGCCACCCACACCACGCCACCCACACCACCCAACACCCACACACCCCACCCACACCCACCCACACCACCCAACACCCACCCACACGCCCCACCCACCCACACCCCCCACTCACTCTTGCGTTTGCCGATGTCCCCGTCGGGAGCCGCCGAGTCGTGCAGGAGGACGACCCCCAGGGTGATCGCCACGTCTACGCCCATCGTCAAGGCTCACGCAACAACCCCGTTAGACTCACGCGATAACCCCGACGAGACTCACGCGACAACCCCGTCGAGGCTCACGGCAGCACCACGCCCGGCCGCCTTTGTCTCCCCAGTGGTAATGTTTATACACAGCACCAGGTACTCATTTGAGGCCGAGTCGACCTAGGGAAGGCCCGGGACCGGTTCAGATAATCGTCACTGTTGGTGTTGTTGGCCGTGAGTGGAAATGAACCTGGGTCGCCAGGTTCATAGCGATTAGCGCT